AAATAGTGGTGATGTTTTCGCGTGAAAATATGTATTCGAGGATCAGCCACAGGAGCTTACACTAATTACCCTTTACTTAATTACATTGTAATCCGTTTTGCAAAGCTTTACGAATGTCTATTCTCTTGTTAAAGTCGGAATCTTAATTTAATTTAAAATAATGAAATATCTTTTTTCTCGAGGAGACGTATTATTTAATTTTAAATATAATATATCGTGCCTATTTATTAAAAAATTATTGTCTATTGTTTTTATATATGTATTACAGTAGTATTAAATAATAATTGAGTCGCCGGAAAGTAAAACCACACATAAAATTCTGACTCCCATTGAATTAACATGGCCGTCAGAATTTTATATGTGGTTTTACTTTCCGGCGACTCAATTAATCAAATTTTTTTTTATACAAATTTTTATAAATTTTCTTATAAATAAATTCATATAAGTGAAAGTGAAAAAAAGAAGTAAAATAATTTCTTACATAAGACTTGTGTACCATTTGTGTGTGTGTGTGAGTGTGAAAGGACGAAGGAGGATAATGTCGATTTTTTGAAAAAAAAAAAAAAACAGTCGACCTTGTCCAAAAATAAGTAGTCTACTTAAAAGCGAGCAAAGATATTAATCGTTCAACTCTGTTTAGTGGATCAATAATTTTATATAGTGACACATTAAAGTACTAAACAAGATAAACGCCTCTATAAAAGTTACTTTTTCTGACAAATAAAATTGTCCGACTTTTTCAAAAAAAAAAAAAAAAGAATCGAGAAATTTATTAATAATTTCTTTTTTTTATTAAAACACAATTTTTAATTTATAGGAACGCTAATTGGATTTTTCTTTATTAAGTAGTATAAGTCAATATTAGAACATTTGTTAATTTCGTTTATTAAGCAGTAGAACTCGATTTTAGTCAGACAAATTGTCAATTTTAGTGAGACGTTAATTTTACATCTACATAATAAGTAGTAGGAGTCTATTTTTAGTCATACGTCAATTGCGGTCCCCTTTTAAGTAGTAAAACTCGAATTTAGTCAGATAAGAAATTTATATCTGTTTATTAAGTAGTCGAGGTCAATTTTGGTCAGACGAGAATTTTACATTGAATTTTTAAGTAGTATAAGTCAATATTCAGTCAGGTGTTAATTTTACATTTATTTTGTAAGTAGTAGTAGTCGTTTTTAGTCAGACGTTCATTTTACATTTATTTATTAAGTAGTATAGATCAATTTTCTGTCTGACGTCTCTTATCCTTTCTACACTAATCAAGTAGTAAAATACGATTTTAGTCATACATCAATTTTTTATCTAGTCATTAAGTAGTATAAGTCAATGTTCCGTCAGACGTAAATTTATCATCGATATATATTGAAATAATTTTTCCAAAAATAAGTAATATTTTTCAAAAAAAAATAAATTACTTTTGAAAAAAATAAAAATTAATTTTTGAAAAATGTTAATTACTTTTGAAAAAAAATAAATTATTTTTTTTCTACACGAAATATTGAAAAATAAAAAACAAAAAATGTAAAAGTTTATTTTACGTATGTACTTTTTTTTATTTTTGTTTAGAAAAAAGAAATTATTCCCCCAAAGAAATTATCATCTTTAAATTAAATGGAAATGTAAAATATTATTATATTGATCCAGAGACGGTAATTAAGATATCTTCTCCAAAGTTGGGGACATCCTTGAGTTTATCTATCAAGAATTTTGTAATGTACATATATATATATTGTATTCACAAGAGTTATCTTCTGTTTAAACAAGATCCGTGAAATAAGAAAAGTTCTAAGAAAGTTTCCAATAATGAAAAAACACGATAATAATTAAAATAATAGCAATAAAAAAAAAAGCTCGCTTCATTTTGTGGAAGAATAATTTTTCTATAATCATGTCTGGCTAAAGGCAAAACTGTTGGAAAAATTAAAGACTAGGGGAAAGAATGAGAGAGAAAGTAAGTGAACGAGTAAAAGAGAGAAACAGAGAGAGAGAGAGAGAGAGAGAGAGAGAGAGAGAGAGAGAGAGAGAGAGAGAGTAGAGGGGGAGAGATATGAGACAAGAATGGAGAAGGGGAGTGAGTAGGGAAAATTACCCGCAATTAAGGTATGCTAGCCGGCAGCTTAAAAGGGCTGAGGGATGGTACTTTGTTTAGTTACTTGGAATGTAGTTGACGACACAGCTTCCTAGTTAATGAGCCATGCAAATAAAGGTGCATGTGAAAATCTTCTTTTTACATAAATTTTTCTTCAATGCACTCGACTTTCTTTTTTTTCAACATTTTAATTATAAATGTTAATCAATTCAGGGAATTACTCATTCTCTCGACAGTGAAAAAAAAATAATTCAATATTTTATTCTTTTGTAAATTTTGTAATTTCTTTCCTATTTTATAAAGATTGAATTTTTGTTAACCCCTTCGTGCCCAGGCAAAACTGAGCATATAAAAAAACGAAACTAAAGTGGTTCCTATAGTTTTTGGGGTCGCTGATTACGAATCTGGTGATAGTTTATGAAAATTCAAAATGGCGGATTCAATATGGCGGACGAAATATCAAAATTGTTCGGATTCGCTTAAAAATGGCCACTCGGGGGTTTTCGGGGTCGCTGATTACGAATCCGATATTAGTTTTTCAAAACTCAAAATGGCGGATCCAATATGGCGGACGAAAAAATTAAAATTGTTCGGATTTGCTTGAAAATTGTCACTCGGGGGTTTTCGGGGTCGCTGATTACGAATCCGATACTAGTTTTTCAAAATTCAAAATGGCGGATCCAATATGGCGGACGAAAAATTAAAATTGTTCGGATTCGCTTGAAAATGGTCACTGGGGGGTTTTCGGGGTCGCTGATTACGAATTTGGTATTAGTTTCTCAAAATTCAAAATGGCGGATCCATTATGGCGGATGAAAAATCAAAATTGTTTGGATTCGCATGAAAATGGTTACTCGGGGGTTTTCGGGGTCGCTGATTACGAATCCGATATTAGTTTTTCAAAATGACGGATGCAATGTGATTGACGTATTTTTAAAAGTTATTAACAAAAAAAATCCAACGCACTTCTTGCGGAACCTCAAGGGTGGTGTGGAAGGCCGTTACAGGCATAAAAAAATAAACTTCTATTGCTGTTATACTTTTACCTTATTTTAATTTGTTTAATTTAAATTAGTTTCAATCGATTGTTAACGATTATTAAAAATTGATCTGCAACATTGGATTTAAGACTCAATTTTTGAAAACTAATACCAAATTCGTAATCAGCGACCCCGAAAACCCCCCAGTGACCATTTTCAAGCGAATCCGAACAATTTTGATTTTTCGTCCGCCATATTGGATCCGCCATTTTGAATTTTGAGAAACTAGTATCGGATTCGTAATCAGCGACCCCGAAAATCCCCGAGTGACAATTTTCAAGCAAATCCGAACAATTTTAATTTTTTCGTCCGCCATATTGGATCCGCCATTTTGAATTTTCAAAAACTAACACCGGATTCGTATTCAGCGACCCCAAAAACCCCCGAGTAACCAGTTTTAAGCGAATCTAAAATGTTTTAAAAATTCGTCATTTTTCATAATTATTTATATTTTTTTCTGAACAATATAAATTTTTAAACAAAATGTGAGTTCCATTTTTTGAAAGCTCTATCCTTCCTGAAAAAATGCACCAAGTTTGAATAAAAAATATTTAATCTGTTTAGAGTTCTGGAGGTTTTTGTAGGTGGGACATATATGTCCCATGGGCACGAAAGGGTTAATTTTGTCACTATTTTCAATAACTAATTAATTTTTCTATTTGCAGTTAAAAATTTAATTTTTCTTTTTACAATAATAAAGAAATTTTTTTATTTTCAATAATAAATTAAATTTGCAATTTACAATTTTTATCATAAATTTGTAAAATATTTGCAAATCTTATTAAGTAGTAAAAGACAGTTTTAGTCAGACGAAACTTGATTCTACTAGTTATTAAGTAGAAGTGATCAATTTTAGTCAGACTCGTGTACATACTACTTAAGGAGTAAAGAATAAATTTAGTCAGACAAAAAACTATTATATTAAGTAGTGGAAATTTATTTTAGTCAGACATGGTACGTAACAAATACTACTAATTTCCATTTTATAATTTTTATAATTATAACTTTTTTTTTAGATTATTTTATATTCTAATAAAATATTTAATTAAAAAGTTTATTATATTTATTAATTTTTTTTATTTTTGTTAAATAAAATAATTGTGTAATTTTAAAATTAATTTTGTTTATTTATTATATTAGTAAAAAATAAATTTTTTTTTATTTTCTTAAAAATATTTCAAGGTGAAAATAAAATTCTAAAAGAACAATAAAGTAGAGGTAGATTCATTAGGAAACCGACAAAACAAAATTAGGTAAGACATCACACTGCTACTCGTTCTTTGGATAAATGTCTGTTTCTTGTTCATGCTCCTTTCTTATAGTGCAAGTAACTTGAGTTTAAATTGCTTTGAATTCTAATACAATTTAAAAATTCTCTCTTTCTAGTAACCAAGAAAAAGCTATTAGTAATTCACGAAACATTGTTTTTTAACTGTAGATAATGGGATATATATATATATATATATATATATATATATATATATATATATATATATATATATATATGTATATTATAATTTCAATCCAGAAATATTTTCTCTTATAATAATTTCAATGAAATATTTTTTCTTTTGATAAATTCAATATTTTTTTTCCCCCGCCTTTGATGAGTATAGTTATGCCTTGAGATATTTATCACATTTTTTTTTGCTGTTATAAATTGAAATATAAATTCTTGGAAAATTGATATATTCGCAAACAATTTTCCAAAGGAGAATGGAACTTATATTAGAGAGATATATATATATGATTTCGATAAAATGGAAGAGTGAACAGAAATAATGAATTTCAAAAGAGAAATTTTAAATGATAATTTTCACTTTGAAATATGGAGGTGAATTTATTATTATTGTGAAATAAAAACTTACCGTCAATGTCTATTTCTTGTAACATTGTTCTAAGTTCTTCGGCTCTTGCGAACTGGCCTAAGGAACGCATAACTCTGCCAAGTTCCTCTTTCGTGATGCTGCCATCTCCATCTTTATCAAAGAGCCTGAAGGCTTCTCTAAATTCTGAAACAAAAACGTTAGTTTTCAGTTTAGAATATATATATATATATATATATATATATATATATATAAGAAAAGAATTGTAAAAGTTAAAAAGTCGACAAACATCATTCCCAAAGGTCAGATCTTTAAGTTTCTAAAATTGTATAATAAAAAAAAGTGGGACAACAAAATTACATATATTTATAAGTAGTTAAAGTAAATTTTGGTCAGACGTGAATTTATTATATCGAATTTTTAAGTAGTAGAAGTCTGTATTCAGTCAGACGTAAATTTTACATTTATTGTGAAAGCAGTAGAAGTCGATTTTGGCCAGACATCAAATTTACTTTTTGTCAGTAAGTAGTAGAAGTCGATTTTGGCCAGACATCAAGTTTACTTTTTGTTAGTAAGTAGTGGAGGTCAATGCTTGGTCAGACGTCAAGTTTAATTTTTATTAGTAAGTAGTAGAGGTCAATTTTTCGTCAGCCGTCAATTGAAGTTATTTTTTAAGTAGTAACACTCGAGTTTAGTCAGACATTAAATTCATATCTGTTTATTAAGTAGTCGAGATCAATTTTGGCCAGACATGAATTTTACATTGAATTATTGAGTAGTGGAAGTCAATATTCAGTGAGGAGTAAATTTTACCTTTTTTAAGTAGTATAGAAGTCGATTTTAGTCAAACGTTAATTTTAAATTTACTTACTAAGTAGTATAGATCAATTTTCTGTCCGGTGTCTTTTGTCCTTCAACACTAATAAAGTAGTAAAATATGATTTTAGTCAGACGTCAATTTATTTTCTACTCATTAACTAGTGGTTTTGGTAAATTTTAGTCAGACATACTTTTTTACGTGTATTTATTAAATAGTAGAAGTCAATTTTTTGTCAGACGTTAATTGTTCTTCTACTTATCAAGTAGTAGATGGTTTTTTTTACTATCCAATTAGTAAAATTAAACAACTTTAAATACAAAAAGTAAATTAGTTATAAAATTTAGAAATTAAATAATTCTTGATTGTAGCAGAAGGTGAAAATTTTTTAAATATAACATTTTAAAGAGCTCAATTTAATGTTTATTCTCCTATAACGTAAGGCAGATACATTAGAATAAATTGTTGACTATTTGATTATTATTTGGATATCTGATGTCGTAAAGCTATCACCATGTTCTGAGGCTATTACTTGATACAAACGTACGATTGATTTCACATCACTGATGCTTGACACAACCATTTGATAGCCTCGTTTCATGGTCCATTGAACTTGTACCTCTGTTTCTCTCTCTCTCTCTCTCTCTCTCTCTCTCTTCCTCTGTCTTTCTATCTCTTCACAATTTTCATTGTAAGAGAGACATAAAGAATTATAAATTATAATTAATTATACACAAATTATATATTATTGAAAAATTGATTGACTTCATTAATAAAAAAAGAGATTGCATAAAATATTTTCACCAACTTCCTTTTAAAACAATGCAAGCACGCAACTTTACTAAATAATGCATGAATTTATAAGAATGGAATGTTTACACAAAAAATGAAAGTGAAATTCTATATTTCACATTTCCGAGGTTTTTGTGAAGCTCAAAAATCTACTTCAGTAACTTTTTACAATATTACACGGGCAGAGGTCGAATGAAAAAAGTTTTTATAAACCCCCATCTTGGAAAATATTAACAAAAGCAATTTTTTTTGTTTGCGCTCACGAGAGGAAAAAATGTTGGTTTTCTGCATCGCTTGATAGATTTTCATTTTTCACATTATAATGAGCCCATAGAAAAATCTTACACTGATAATAAACGACACAGTTTATGTGTGTGTGAGGAAATAAAAAAGATGAATGGGTAAATTGAATTATTATAATTTTCTTAATTAACAGTTATGTAATCGTTTTGTTCATTTTTTTCTTTATTATTTTTATTATTTTATTCATTTTTTTTTTTATTTCATTATTTTTTCTATTTCTTTTTCTTTTCTTGATCTTTTTTTTCTTCATTTTTCTCTCATTCTAAAAAATGTTTCTATTTATTTATATATTCTAGTCAGAAATTCTTTTTTTTATTACTATTATGAATTAAGTAGTAGATATTATTTTTAGTTTGACATTATACTTAAACACACATTGTATTAAGTAGTACAAGTGAATTTTAGTCAGACGTAAATTATACTTGTACTTATTGAATAGTAGATGTTAGCTATAATCAGACGTTAATTTTACATTAAAGTAGTAGAAATCGATTTTAGTCAGACGTCAATTTTTGACATCTATGTCCTGAGTAGTAAAACGCAATTTAAGTCAGATAAAAGTAATTTTTTTTTTTGAAATTTATACTGTTAATTAAGTAGAAAATTCAATTTTAATCAGACGGGGCAATTTTTGTGAAAATTTTTTGATTATTTTTAAATTTATCGTACGAGTATCATTAGATTATTATATATATATATATATATATTGTAAGCTTCTGAGAGCTTATTGTTCCGCGGGGTTATAAACTATCGTCTTTCCATATACGATATTATCCATTTCCATATACAATATTATCCAGAATTGAAACAAGGTGTAATCTCTCTCTCTCTCTGTCTTCCCTATCAGAGTGCCAAATAGTCTTGTCATGTATTTGCATACAATATCACACTTGCTGGTAAGTAAATTTACCAGACACTGCATACTGGCTTTCACTAGAATAATTTATTGCTTTAGTTCGGTTTGGATACGTCTGTTTAGTTTACAAAACGATTCGCTGCACATTATACACCAGCTCCCAAAAGACTATATCTCTCTCTATCTCTCTCCCTCTCTTACTCTCTGAATATTCTTTATTTATCTCAGAGAAAAAAAATTGAGACAAATTATTTTCAATAATAATTATAATATAATTATTATATTAATTTTTTATTTATTTATTTGGAAATAACAAAGCCCAACAGTAATAATAATAATAATAATAATAATAATAATAATAATAATAATAAATATAATATCCCCATCAAAAATATCCCCGTGGAAATTCTCGAGGATTTCCTCGTGTCAAATTTAGACGGAATTCCTTGAGGATTTCCACGAGGATTTTGTACTCTAATTTTTTTTGTTTGTATTTTAAAAATCCGCAAGGAATCCACGAGGATTTTGTACTTTAATTTTTCGTTTCTTTTTTAATAATTCCCACGCAATCCACGAGGATTTTGTACTCTAATTTTTTGTCTGTATTTCAAAAATCCGCAAGGAATCCACGAGGATTTTGTACTTTATTTTTTTCGTCTGTTATTAAAAATCTTCACAGATTTCACGTCGATTTTGTACTATAATTTTTTTGTCTGTATTTCAAAAATCCGCAAGGAATCCACGAGGATTTGTACAAAGAGAAAAAATTGAATTTCAAAGTTCGAAAACCTCGAGGAAATTTGTAATTAAATGCCGACAAAAAATATTTACTGAAAAGTCCTCGTGGATCTTTTCAACGATCAATAAATAAAAATATTTAACTTTAAGTTAAAATCATTATGGATTTTTTGACGACAGTGAAACACAGATAAGACATTTTTAAGATAAAAATCCTCGTGAATTTATAGGTGCAGGGAAATTAATTCAAAGTTCAAAATCCTCAAGGAATTCATTGCGGATTTTTGAAATACAGACAAAAAAATTAGAGTACAAAATCCTTGTGGAGTCTGTTAGGATTTTTGAAATACAGACAAAAAAATTAGAATACAAAATCCTCGTGAAATGTGTGAAGATTTTTAATAAAAGATGAAAAAAATAAAGTACAAAATCCTCGTGGATTCCGTGGGAATTATTAAAAAAGAAACGAAAAAATTAAACTACAAAATCCTCGTAAATTCCGTGAGAATTATTAAAAAAGAAACGAAAAAATAAAAGCATAAAATCCTCGTGGATTCCTTACGGATTTTTGAAATACGAACAAAAAAATTAGAGTACAAAATCCGCGTGGAAATCCTCGAGGAATTCCGTCCAAATTTGACACGAGGAAATCCTCGAGGATTTCCACGGGGATATTTTTGACGGGGATTAATTAATTATAATATTATTATAATTAATATAATCAATAAAATATAAATATTTGACAAGTAATCTAAATATGAAATTTCTTTGCAAAGTTGAATGAGAAAATCGACATGAAGAAAATAAATAACTTTTGGATAAACTTTTCTAAGAATATCAAATTAGGCCAGTGAGTTTCAAATCCGTTGAGGATGAATAGAATTATAAATCAAATGTTTTCTCGCGTGTTGAATCAAATTTTTTTTTTTTTTCACAAAATAATTCACCTACTTTAGAGAGGGTAAAAGAAAATTTTTTCTACTATATACGAAAATGCATTAAAAATTTTTTCGATTAAAGGGAATTAAAATGTAAATTAAAGGAGGTAAAAAAAAAGAAGAATCCACCTATGATTTGCATTTAATTACAAAGTATATGTAATGAAAGAAAAAAAATTTCGCCAGCTTTTAAAAGTAAGAGAGAGAGAGAGAGAGAGAGAGAGAGAGAGAGAGAGAGAGAGAGAGAGAGAGAGAAAGAAAACACTTTACACACGAAGTAGTAAACGAGATGTAAAATGAAAAAAAACGCTCTTAATCATTCTTAGTTAAAAGAATTTTTTTTTTCATTTATTTTCAATTTAGAAAACATGGCTTTTTATTCATTTCAGAAATATTTTCTCACTCTTTTTGAGTATAAAAATTATTTCTATAGGATTTTAATGGTTTTTGATTTTTGTTTTATTTTTCTATATTATATATATTTTCCTGTATCATTTTCTCTTTTAGTTTTCAAATTGAGTAATTTTAGTGGAAAATTTGTAGACTGTAATAATGTATAACGGCAAATAAGTTTAAAATTGATTTTCTCACCATACATATATATATATATTGGTTTAGAGCAACTATTATCGCTTTAAACATAACTTTTCTTTATCTTCCGACAGTTACAGTTCGTTGTATATATAAAAAAATACTCTTTGTTTATTCATTTACGAATACTTACTATATCGATTTCTTTTTTATTATCTTTTATCTCCTACGAACTGCAGTGCGAAATAAAATTATTTTTCATTACACACAATGGGGAAATGATCAATAATCAATATGAATAGTTATAATAACTGTTAATATTTCGTATTTCAATTATTTTAGTTTTCTGTTTGGAAATACAAAAAAAAATTGCAAAATATCACAGTAAAAGAATAAAATAAAAAAAATGTGTAATATTTTATATTTATAATAATAAAAAAAAATTGCCTAAGAAAATTAATGTATCAAATATTAATAAAAAAATATTCTAAATTCATAGAATATAAATTTTAAAAAAAATTTACATTTCTCATTTAAAAAAAAAAAAAAAATGATTTTCTTTTACAGAGGTAAAATAATGAGTGTACTTTTTTTTTTTTTTTTTTTTGCAGAAAAAGTGATAATAATTTTTTCTATGCTCGGTAGGAAAATTCGGAAAATTTTCCATTGTTAAATTCCTTATTTTGATGTTAAGGAGAAATAACTTACCCTTCATTTGAGACTTTGAAATTGCTGGCATTTTCTTTGTGACAACACGTTCAGGCGATGCAGGTAAGTTAAAAATTACGTTAGCGGAAATTCTATTTGTTAATGTTGAGGATGATTCAATGGCCGTTACTGAACTCGATGATGTTAAATCAACAAAATTTGACGATTCACGTTGTAAAATTGTTTTTACACGATGCTCATCGGAATTTTGCAATCTAACTGCCAATGGATCAATGAATATTGTTTTAAGTGAACCCATTGCATCGATGGGTCCACGTTCTGTGGGCGATATATGTGGCGTCAACGTTTTTGTTGACGAACAACCACCCGCTTCCTCCTCGTCTTCGTCGTTATTTCCAGCACCACTCGTTTGACGTGTCTATAAAGAAAAATTGAAATTTTCAAAAAATTTTATTACTATTATTATTATTATTATTATTGATAAATTCAAATATTTATTTTATTTTTATTTATTTATTTATTCATTCATTTATACAGTTATTAAATTTATAAATTATTTATGAACTTTATTAAGTAGTCGAGGTCATTTACAGTAAATACGTGAATTTCACTTTTTCCTATTAAGTAGTAAAAATTAATTTTCCGTCAGCCGCCAGTTGCTTTATTATTTATTTAGTAATTTAATTTCTATTAAGTAGTACAAATCAGTTTTGGTCAGTTAAAAATTTTATCCGTACTTATTAAGTAGTAGAACTCGATTTTAGTCGGACAACAATTTTATATTTATTTATTAAGTAGTCATGGTCAATTTTGGTCAGACCTGATTTTTTACATAGAAATTTTTAAGTAGTAGATGTAAATTTTTGGTCAGACGTCATTTAGACTTCTACTTATCAAGTAGTAGAACTGGACTTTAGTCAGACAATAATTTTACATTTAATTATTAAAGTAGTAAAACTAGGTTACGGTCAGACGTCAAGTTTACTTTTTGTTATTAAATAGTAGAGGTCAATATTGGATCAGACGTCAAGTTTACTATTGGTTATTAAGTAGTAGAGGTCAATTTTTCGTCAGACGTCAAGTTTACTTTTTGTTAGTAAATAGTAGAGGTCAATTTTCTGTCAGCCGTCAAATGCAGTTCTTTTTCAGTAGTAAAACTCGAGTTTAGTCAGGCAAGAAATTCACATCTGTTTATTAAGTAGTCGAGGTCAATTACAGTAATACGTGAATTTCACTTTTTCCTATTAAGTAGTAAAAATTAATTTTCGGTCAGCCGTCAGTTGCTTTATTATAGTTATTAAGTAATCGAATTACTATTAAGTAGTACAAATCAATTTTGGTCAGTTAAAAATTTTATCCGTACTTATTAAGTAGAAGAACTAGATTTTAGTCAAACAATAATTTTACACTAAATTATTAAAGTGGTAAAAGTAGGTTACTGTCAGATGTCAAGTTTACTTTTTGTTATTAAGTAGTACAGGTCAATTTTTGGTCAGACGTCAAGTTTACTTTTTGTTGGTAAGTAGTGGAGGTCAATTTTCTGTCAGCCGTCAAATGCAGTTCTTTTTTCAGTAGTAAAACTCGAGTTTAGTCAGACAAAAAATTCACAAATGTTTATTAAGTAGTTGAGGTGAATTTTGATCAGACGTGAATTTTACGTTCAATTTGTAAGTAGTAGAAGTCAATATTTAGTTAGGCGTGAATTTACATTTATTTTTGTAAGTAATAGAAGTCGATTTTAGGCAGACGTTAATTTTACACTTATTTATTAAGTAGTAAAACACTGTTTAGAAAATAAATAAAAAATAAAAAAATAATTGCTTTGCTTTTTTACGAATAAATATTTTAACAATAAATGGAATCGAGAGAAAGTTTTTATTTTGTATATTTTTATCAAGTGAATATACATATATATTAATTTACGTAAGAAAAAGTTTCGTAAGTTTAGACAAGTCATGAAATGGAGCTGAGAGTTTCCGATTGAAAGTAAGATAAATAGTTGAGAAGACAGATGCATTTCTTGGGAAATCGCAAAGTTCTTATATAGACAAAATAAAAACAATTAAAATCAATCGACCAAAAGATTTTCTTATATATATATATATATATATATATATATGGGGAAATAAAACCATTTTTCAAATACAACATTCACTGAAATAATTAATTCTTTTTTGTGTTTTATTTCTTAAAATCAATTCTGAAAAATAATTTAAAAATTTCGTTCCACTTTCCAAATTTTCTATATGTTATGGATTAAAAGAATTCCATTATTCATTCTATTTCTTATTCGTTCTCAATTTAAATTGGCAATTTATCTATTTTGATTAAAATCGAGTTAACACATACAGACTTTTGCAAATTGTGTTCCCGATTTCAATGTATAGAAAATGGTATGGCATTGATTAAAGCATTAATTCTATTAGTTTGATTTGTCGGAAAATAGAGGTTGATTGGTGAAAAAGAAATAGGACACGTTTCCCTTAGTAGTCGCAGAAAGTCAGAATGAAAATTTTAAAAGTCCTTTGGAACTTTCGTCATTAGCAGTAACCAAGGGTTACAAACACAGAATTCGCTAACAGAAAGAAAGCGTGAGAGAAAGAGAAACTTCCGCCTCACAGATAGTTATCAAAAGTCTTGCAAGTGATGTTTTGGCCTCCATGGAAGATAAATTAAAAAAGTATTTTGACATGAACAAATGAATAAATAACGAGAATTTTTATTTATAATTAAAACAAAAGAAAAAAAATCGGTTATTAAAGTTTTAAGTAAGCCTGAATTTTAAATCGATTGAAACTTTAGTTAATTTTTTTCAAATAAGTATTCGAGAGCAAAAAAAAAGTGCAACGTTCTGTAAATATTCATTTTGGAAAACTCGTGCTTTGCAGAGGTTTCAGTTTACTTTGATTAGAGTAAGGATGCGAAAATTTCCTTCCCAAACTATTTTCCACTTGATGAAAATTTTACATCAAGTGAAATTTAATTAATTTTCAACTTCTGGTGAAGAAAGAAGAAAAAGAAAAACAATTGAAATTTTCATTATCAATACATTTTTCATTTATAAATGAATTGTAAATAATTTATAAATTAAAATATTAATAATAAAAATAAACACATACACTAAAAAAAAGAATTATTTGATTTTTGTTAATATTATTATTAATAATTAATAATAATAATAATAATAATTTCGAATATTAATATGTTTGTTTTTCTCAAAAAAATCGAGTTTATTTTAAATTAAAAGTAAAAGAATAAGAATGACATGAAACAAAAGATGATAATTGTCAATATAAAAAGAATATTAAAAAGTATTATTGGCCGGTAATAATTTTCCCCTTTTTAATTTACTAGCTAGTTGTAAAGAGTCGAAGAGCGAACAGCTACAGGTGGCCGATCATATAGAAAGGTTTTCTGGAGAGTCACTGGGGTAAATGAAAGGAGGATCAAAGAGCTTTCAAAGTAAATCCAGTGATTGACACAATTTTCTATAAATTTATAAAAAAAAAACAGAAAAAACTCATAAAACAAGAATTAAAAATTAATATTTTTTCCCAAAACTCAATAATTACAAAATAAATTTTTTTTATTAAAAATATTAATTTTTATAAAATAATTTTCAAAAAAAAAAAGTTTAATATTTTATAAATTTTAATATATATTATTTAAAATTTTCAATTTTGGAAAAAAACATTTCATGGGAAAATTCGATGCTTTTACTTTCGTCATTATATAGTCCATTTAGTGAAGTAGCTTTGGAACTGTTCCAAACTTTGAGGTTTGGATCTATAACGACCTCGTGGGGAATTTCTGTTATTTAGAGGAACCTTTTCTGAAAGAAAAAAAAACTATAGAAACAACCTTGACTGATATGTGCGGAAAAATAAATATATTTTTTTCTCAAAAGTAATTTATTCAAGAGCTTTGCATATAAATTTAATTTACTCGACGAGGTAATGACTTTTTTTGTGTTAATTAAGTAAAAACTTAAAATCAGTTTTTGTGAATAAAAGACGAAAGAATTTTAAAGGAATAAAAAAAAATTCTACTTTGTCTGACTAAAATCAACATTTACTACATCAAAAAAGTAATTTAATTATTTATTTCAGTGAAAATTATTTTTAAAAATAATTATCGATTAATTAATAATGTTTTTTGTTTTGTTAAAAAATTCCTTGAAAATTGAACATTTTCTAAGTCTGACTAAAATCAATTTACACTACTTACAAAGAACCGAAAACGTTTATATTGACTTAAAATTTACGTCTGATAGAAAATGGCATTCACTACTTATAAAATTCTACTAAAAGCTCTAAACTCCCCGCTCTAAAATACCTTTTTACTACTTACAGTTAAGTGGGGAAAAAAATTACTTTATCGGAAATTCAAACAAAATACTTTTATCTTAAGTAGTAAAAAAAACAATTGGAATCAGACTTGATAAAATTTTATTCACATTTTCATATAATTATTTAAATCTTTTTATTTAAAAAAAATAAATATATTTACCTACTATACAAATTTCTATTATTCGGAAATAATTTATAATTACATATATTATTATATTATTATTATATTGTTATATAATAATTAGTATAATTTACTTAGATTTATGTTTACAAATCTCTTTTAATAAAAAAAAAGTCGTTAAAGCCACTCTTTTGTTTCACAATTTTTTTTTACGCTTCAATTTTCAACGAAACTTATTTAATATTTGAATAGAAGTTAATTGAATTTGAAATTCACACACTTTTGTGTTACGAGATTTTTTTTTTGTTTTTTTTGTATTTGAAAGTCTTCAAGAAATGGGAAAAAGTTTTTCTAAAAAAACATAAATGCATGTAGATTGTGTTCATTGTTTCGTTTATTGAATTGCTCGAGACAAGCACACAGTAAAATGGATAGATATCGTTTTCGGGAGTTTTTGCTCTCGCATCCAATTAACACGCTCACATTCACTTATATATTTCTTTTCCAAGTTACAATTCTCCTCTAATCTAGACGAAAAAAATTTGCTACTTCCTTCGTATAATACAAAAAAATAAAATAAAATGTAAATAAAAAATTAAATTCTTGAAATTTTTTTTATTATTAATTATTAATAAAAGATTTTAAATAAATCATATGGCTTTATAAATTATTTTATTTATTATTTTTAATATTAGTATTATTTTTTTTATGTAAATTCAATTTTTTTATAATACAAAAAATTAATTTATCTTCTACCAATTTGTCACTAATTTAAATTAAAACTAGCAAAAATTTTCGCTAACCTTTCGCTTTATATATCTTGTAAATATTTCAAATTATTCCGCTCGTATATCTCTCTCTCAAGTATACTGTATCTTAATTTAATGATCTCGAGGGGTTCAACCTACATCACGATTTGCTATTTTGTATTTATCAGTACATACATAA